GTTTACATGAGTGTCAGGAGCCTCTCTTACAAGCCCAGGGTCCGTAAGCCTCACAGCTGGAGGCAAAGAGACTGCCGCCCCCCCGCAGGTCTGCACAGTCCCTGTCTTCAGCATCCCACTCCACCGTCACCCTGCAAAGGGACAAAGGGGGACATGTCGCATTTATATGTGAATAAATACTCAAATGTAAACAAATACAATCAGTTGTATGTCAGTGTGTATATGTAAATGCTTGTTTATATGTATATATTGTAATAATAAAACATATTTCATTAAAATGTATGAAGTGAGTTATTCTCCAAGAATATATAAAATAATTTGTTATCCACGTATCGATACCTATTGGACTATACAATTGATTCAAGAGCCAAACGAGAGGTACAGGTCTGTATTTTTTCGTAATTCCTAAAAGAGATATTTGATCTAATACTTAGAATCGTGTACAACAGGTCAGCTGAACTTGCAGAAATGCCTTTTGGTCCACTTTGTTTACAGAAAAAAAAACATGTTTCAAAAGGAAATGAATGAAAATGTTCTTTGGTTTGAATGATTTATTAACTAGAAACACATACAATGATTTTGATGTGATTATTTGTCGTATTTTGTTTCCTACAGTACATACATAATACTCATGTGTGTTTCACCTGGCTAGGATGTTGAAATTACCCGTGGAATAAATATAAAATGCTCTTTCTCTACTGCTTCTTCACGAACATTATTGTCGGTTTGAAATTGGATACATAAATATTATTATTTAATAGATCAACAAATATCTTTTTGCATTTCTTGATCACTTGCTGTAATAGTGAGCACATCTTGGTCACCACAGCTTCAACTGTAATGTCCATATTATGAAAATGATGCTTTAATTTAAGAAGTGTAATTAGAAGTGTAGCATAATGCTTCTGGTGTCTGCTGCTTCACAAATAAACCTCTCTCATGTATCTGTTCTGTTGCCTTTATAAGCAGATGTTCCACATTTCTATTGTTGTTCCTTAACATGAAAAACCTTTGACCCGTTACCATCTGAATCTGGACTTACGGCATGTATTGCTGGACGTCCCCCCCGTCCCCCCACAGCCACAGCCCCTCCTGCTGAGCGTCCGTCAGTCCCACCCACAGGAAGGGGAAGAGGGGGAACCGTCTCATCACACCTTGGATAAACTCCTAAAGAATAAGAGACATTAAGATGACTTTATATCCAGAAACGCTCCCTGATTGTATCTCTGTGTTTGTGTTGTTACCATCTCTGCGGGGTCTCTGATGACGGCCAGGCTGCTGTTGAGCTGCAGGCAGAACTCTGAGCTCTCGATCCAGCTACGATCATCTTGCTGTCCCACTGAGAAGAAGTAGCAGTGACCCCCCCACCACAGCCAGCCGTCAGGACACACACTGCACCTGGGGTCTACACACAGCAGGCAGCACACACTGATCTGAATGCATTCAACACACCGGTTAATACAACTCAACATGCCAAGATTTCATGAGAGCTTTCACCACTGTCATCAATCAAAGATCTGCCATCTTAATGTCCTGCAAATGTTTACGACTGCACCCACACACTTTGAGAAGTCACATGTGCAGGATGTCGGATGTTGGCATCAGAGAAGAGAATATAAATCACCTTGAGTTACGGTGTGGAGCATCAGGTTCACTTCCTGGCGCTCTCTTTGGCACTGCTGCAGTCTCTCCATCAGCTCATGGCTTGACGTTTTGGCGGTCTGATCCACTTCTGGTGCTCTTGTCCACGTGACTGGCCAATACACATGAGTCATTTAGTAACTTGATGCAGTGTACCTGAAGATGGTTTGTAATTTCTATGATAACAAGTATAGTAATAACAGGAAATAGATGTTGATGCCCCGCTTTATTATCAAAAAACATGTCAATTACAACATGGTGTCTTTAAATGTTTCAATGAGTTATTTTTAAACTACAAATGTATTCATATACCTGATATCTGACTTATTATGGTTTGAAAATAATGAAATGTAAAATAAACTGTAGTCCTAAATTATTTTTATTTATGCGGGCACAAATAGGATCAATGTATATAACATGTATTATTTTACATTTATACTCACCAAATAATACCAAACCCATTAGAAGTCCTATCACCAGAATTGATGTTGCCATAACAACAGCCACACGAGTTGTCAGTTGACAAGTGTGACAGCATCCTGCAACTGTGGTGTAAAAAAATCAACAATCATGAAACTAAAACTTCATGTAAGCAGACGTTTTTCGGAAATCGTCATTGTCAACAAGAAGGGTTATCTTACAATGACAATGTAAAAGGACTAAACGTAGGATATACATAAACCTGTTAACCAATGACTTGAGCACTAAAACACATCATACTATCACCTGCCTGTGGCTTCACTGTTTAACCTCTGACACCCATTAAGATAAAACTGGGACACTTTCTCCGAGAAGTAAACTTGGACTTTTAACCAGAAAAAAACGTCAGCTTTTAACTGGGTGAGGTTAATGGGGTGTTATGCAAAGTACTGATGAGTTTGACAGTATAACAATGTCTAACTGTGATGCAGATAAAGATAAGATCAAACTGTTTTGTAATATATATATGTAGTATTATTTCCAACATGGCACATTTTCTTTTTATGTTATGACTACAATACATAAATCCAAAAAAACACATATTTCAATCAATCAGCCAAATATTATATAACCCAATCTCACAAACTACACATTTGTCTATGGGCTGGACAGTGAGCACAGATATGACACCCTCTGTCCTTAGACCCTCGCAGAATAAAACGAAAACCTCCTGAAAAAAGGGCAGAAATAGTCTTAAACATGTATTTTGAACCAAACCAACAGGGCAACATTTCTAAAAACCTGGTTTTTAATGCAAGAAAGTTCTTATTTCAGTTTTACATTTCCAACACAAAATATCGTTTTACATGAAACTCTGTGGAGAGTCAATGCATGTTGTGAGCTTTACCCTTTGTCTTTCACACATTTTACACGTCCGGTTACAATTTTAGAAAATGTGTTTATCACACTGTATTTCTTCTAGTTCCTCTGCTACTATTCACTTTAACAGAATCATTAGTCAGGAAGTTGTTGGTTTAATATAAGAAAGATGCGGGTGACTATTGCCATATTGGCTATTATGCACATACTGTATGTAGGGGGGCTTTGTGATATACCTAAAAGACTTCGGTATATCACAACTTCTTATCTGTAAATACTTCCAAAAATGGCCTTTCCAACGTTTAAAAGCTCTACAAGATCATTTTGTGTAAAATAACTAGGTTTCTATTATCACGAGCACATTGAGATAGTACTTTGACAGGATTGAATGATGAACACCACTATATACTACTACATTTTTCTACTTTAAAAAGGTAAATGGTTCTCTGTTCTCCCAAGGAGCACATCGTCTATCCCACTTCACATCAAATGTTTTGTTCCATCATCACATTTCTTAGAAAAATACGTTTTCAGGGAAGGACCATTCAAATTGAGGAACCACTATCATTTAAATAATTCAATGTTTCCCCACATGGTGAGTTTCATCTTCCTGTGCGTTCTGAAAAAGTCAAGGTTTTCTGAAGTGTGATGTTTGTCTTTGAATTTTAATCAAACACTTCATAAAAAATAGAAAAATATTATTCATTTAGGTTAAAAAACTAACCTGCAGGTGTTTCTCTTTTCGCCTCATCCTGTTCGTTTCTCAAATCCATGCTACTGTATGATACTATTTCTACTCTACGGGCCGTCTCCACGGCAGCGTTAAAAAAATCTTGGAGGTGGGCGTATCTGAAGCTTGGGGATTTTTTTGCGATCAACCAATCACATGAATCTCCCGCCCGCGACATACGAAGCCAAAAAGCCCGAAGTAAACTGGATATAAACTCCCCAAAACAGGCGAAAACATACCACTGTCTCTGCCACCTCCCTCCATGCCTGGCTCCTCCGGTTTATATCCCGGTAGGTCTGGTCATAAAGCACCGGGTGATTGATTCGCTACCGCTAATTTCTCCTCCATTTTTTGGAATATGAGGAAATGATCTGCGGTATGTCTCTCCCAGCATACACGCCGTTTGATTGGCTAGAGCTTGAACTGTCAGATTTGCGTACACGGGATTTGATTGGCTGACGCTTCCTCCTCAGCTTCAAAAGTTGAACATTGTTCAACTTTGGATCTTGAAAATCCTGAGAATCTCCGCTCGCCTGCCCACAATGGATTTCGGCGAAAGCGAAAAAAAGTGACGTCACCCCATTCAAAGTGAATGGGCAGAAGCGTTTCAAGATTTTTTAACGCTGCCGTGGAGACGGCCCGGTACATTTTGTACATGCTTGTTGACTCTGTTACACATTCTCACTTTCGGGTTAGGGTTTGTGCCGCCCCTTCCTCATATCACAGCCCTTCTCTTAAACATGGGAACTCAAGTTATAAATGAATACTTAGATGTTTAACAGGGGAAGCTGGCAGGCGTATTAGTGAAGTTGTATTTCTGACAGCAGACCCTGGGGGGGGGGGGTACAGCTGTAACTCAGACACTTCTCTGTTTATCTGCTGATGTCATCTATGTGCTGCTTATCTACTGATGGTCTTCTCGTTATGGAACAGACTCTGGTAAAGGTGAGTCTCACTTTAGGTCTGTGTGTGTGTGTGTGACTTTTGACTTCCTATAGCCGAAGAAATGTACATCTTTGTGCTATTTTATCTGTTCTGTTTCATAATTATTTGAAATCTAAGAGGTAGAGTAGAACATGATACTTGTTAACTATAACCTGTTGAACATTTTATTAAATTGAGATTTTTTTCAATTTTATTGTGGGCAAATAATGTCGACCTTACAAAACTTTTATGTTTTTTATGGGTTACCAATTCCTGTAGTGTGTTATATGTTTTTACCATCCTTGAGTCAAATGGTCTGCAAAGGTTAAAGCGCCTAACATTATTAAGCGCTAGAACATACATTTGTTTACTTTTCAGAGAAGAATAATTACCCCAAAAATGCTAATGAACTAAAAACGTTTTTTATTTATTCAGGTAAATCAGACACATATTTGAAAACCTAAAAAAAACTAAAATGGTCATTTGAATTACTATCTTGCTATTTCGACTAAATGAGAGTATATGTCAATGTATTATGTCACAATGCTGTCCTACAATACATGTCTTCTATGTTCATATTTTCCTGGTGGAAATACAGGATGAGCACTCATGCACACCATTGTGTAAAAGAAAAAATTCAAAGTGAAAATCATCCAGTATGACAAAGATTTTAGCAGTTTAGTTTTCCCAAAAAATCACATTCAAATAAAAGCTTAAGTGTTTTTCGCTAAATAGCAGAGCAACAATAATCTACAAAAGACAGAAAACATTACAATAATGTAAATAGTGACAATAACAATTAAAGGAGGAAAAATAATGAATGATGTCTCTTCATTTTTATTTGGGTTCCAGATTCTCGAGTTTCCAGATAATATTTCCCCCTAGCACCTCGTTGAAATGTGCCTTCAACTGCAACAAAACACACAAACACAAGCTGTTAAAGCTAATCCAGTCCATATCACACACTCCAAATAACAGCTGCTCTTTACTCCGTTTCTGTAGAGAAGAGACTACTGTTTTAGATTTAAACTAAACCCTGTTGGTGTGTGTATCAGACATACCTGTAAAAACACACTTTCCCTCGTGGTGTTTCCATCACAGAGGAGAGACTCAGTCGAAGAGCACATCATGGACAGGCTGATTTCCCTTTTGTCTGCATCTGGGGGACAAACAGCTTGTTAGATCTAACGGCCATCTTGCAAGAATGTTTGCTTTGGCAAGATTTGTCTCTGTGAAACAAATAGTGGCAGAAAATCAATCAAGAATGTGTCGGCTTTAATGACAATATTGTTGCAAATAGGTGTTCCGAAACTTAAAATGTGAGAGTTTGCTGCAACTTTTTTAATGAATCACTACAAAACTCATGTTGGTTTATTGTTAGCGTCCTTGGTTCTTTTTAGCTTGTGTATGCTTTTGAACAGATGAATATCAAACCTCAGGTGTTGGAGTTTCTTTTAAAGATTTTTACTCGAGACCGTTTCACGTTTTTGCCACATATTTTCATCAACAAGAAATTGAGGGCAACAACCTTCATATGGTGCCTTAAATCAACAACCAAAGTTAAGATTCTTAAATCATTTTTAGGAATGTTAATGTCAATATAGCATAACATGCTCATTTTCAGTTAGCATATTATGTTTTCCCCATTTAAGGTTTATTAAAGGGGACACATTCGGCCCAATTTCTGGTTCAAACGTGTAATGTTTGTATCAGAACAGTTGCTTTAATGTTATTATATAACCGTATCCACCTTCTGTCTGAAACACAGCTTTTATGGTCATCTTAGACGAATGTACAACCAAAGTTTGTCGGTGAAAATGTTTGTTTTAAAATTAAGCCTCACCTGTGTAATGTGACACAGTTGCTGCTGCACTCAGGTCCTGATCCGCCACTGTTTGCACTTGAAAATCGTACTTGGTCCCTGATTTTAAGCCTGTAAACTTGTGGCGGATTTTGTCCTCGATTCTCTCAGATACGGTGTGGCCCCAGAAGCTGGAGTTGATTCCGACAGCGTACGTGAATGTTCCTACGATGGCAGGGGGATCCCACTCGAAGGTAATGCTGGATTTATCTTGATTACAGACTCTGGCATTAGTAGGCGGCGACGGCTCTGGAAAAAACACAAAGAAAACGAGGCAGTGTTTTATCAGATTATCTTTATCATAATAAAGTGAGTATAAAGACCATGAAGTTAAAAAGGTTCCCGTGAAATAATCCCCATTCCCCTGAAAAACTAAAACGTTGACTTTAATTTAACGTATTATGTCAACAAATGTCACAAAACTGTATTAGGTTAGTTAAAAGCAATAATATTAAGTTGAACCTAATATTTTCTTTATTTAAACTTAATATATTTACTTTCAACCAACCTAATACAGTTATGTGAAATCTTTAATTAAAGTCACCGTTTCAGTGTGTCGCCAGATCAACCGGGACCACAATGTTGAGATAACTTTAAATACACAAAAAACGACAAATACCAAGGCGACTCACTGGTGAATTTGCATTTGATCGATGGTTGGCCCTTGAGATGTCCGTTAAAGGCGTACACGGTCACTTGGTATTTGGCTGCAGTCTTCAGATCGGTGAAGATGATCTCAGAGACATTTGTGTCTTTTTCGATGACTTTGCCATCCAGCAGGAGCTTGACTTTGAAAGATGAAGAATTCCCCTCAGTTTTCCACGAGGCATAGAGCGACACGTCCGTTGTGTTCAATTTCAAGTCTGCAATTGGTCCAGGAGCTATGGAAGAGTCACAGAGGCATGTTAGTGACACAGGAGGACCATTTTTTGTATATATAATTAGTTAAATATGAGTTACCGGTGTAGTTCTCGATGGTTACACTGTCTCCCTCAATGTTGTCATTAACCAGTGCCGTCACACTGAGGGTTATCTTGGAGCCAATTGGCAGGCCTGTTACGTTAACTTCCGTGACGGTCACCTTTTGACGGACCTTTTGTTTGCTAGGAAGAGAAAACAATAATACAAAATATGACACCATTTTATTTCAATTTGGGTATACCTTTTGTAGTTCCCTCCTTAAATTATCCATCACAACCTGCATTACCACTTTTACCTTCTGTATGTTGTACCTTTTTGTACCTAATGTATTGACGTTTTGACCAAAGTCATTTCGATTTTTTCTATGTACGTTAGCGAGGCAAACTATTAATGTACCTGAGTTTAAGTGAGGAAAAAATTAATTCTGGACGATCTATCTACAAATACATACTTATCAAATGTAGCGACAACCCAGAAAAATGAGAAATTTCCCACGGGTTTCTTCCAGTTGAGCTGCAGTGAATGATGGGTATTACGAGACACCCTCAGGTCTGACACTCTCCCAGGCTCTGAAAGGGAGACAGACACAACGTCACTGTTTACCCCCCCCATATCACAATATCACACGAGTCACTGTTCAGCTCAGATATGGCCCTCATTTGCTTATTTAAATCGTATATACTGGTAGAAAGAAATACCTAGCAATAAAAATGTCCTTTATTGAACAAGTGTTCACTGGTCTTATTCATACAGTTTACTTCCTGGTGAAATGCTCTACCAAATAAAAGATCAAATAACACGGTTCAATCGTAGGGGAAAGTACAGCAGTTCCCATCATGCATTATGTTTTGCGTTATGCGATAAACACTCACTGGTGTATCGTGAGACGATGGATTCTTCACTCCAGGTGGAATTATCCCCGACTCCTGAGAGGACAGTGAAGGTGTAAAAGTTTCCAGGTATCAAATCTCTGACCTCCTTGCCCTCTGTCTTGCTACTAATCTGCTTCCCATCTTTGATCTTAATCAGATAGAAATCTAAATTCCCAGCTGGTTTGGTCCAGTTCAGGAAGACGGAGGTTTCTGTCACGTAGGTGAATTCGAGGTCTTCCACTTTGTTCGGTGCTGAAAGAAAACGGAGATATAATCATGGTAACAAAAGTCCTACGCTAACATTTTTTTAATAATAAATAAGTTCCCCTATTATAAACAATCCACCCTTTCATGTCTTTTATACATAAATATGTGTCCCCTCTGTGTGAAGAGATCTGGAAAGTCTCAGTAAAAAAGATTCTCTCTCTTATTGTCCCGATCCATTTATATATAAAAACCTGTGTGAAACTTAGCTGATCAGAGTTGGGCCACTTTATGATGTCACAATGTTTTTTTGGGTTGTGTAACCATTAGCAAATAACCAACCAAAGTAACCCCCCCCACACCTTATCACCTGAATCTCCTCCTAGAGCACCATTATGTTTTTTTGTTGAAATATAGTATAATAGGGAAGTAAAAGAACAAAATTAAGCTTTTAAAAATACTTGCATTTAATTTCTATTATGCATAATGGACCATATAAGAATCGAATAAGATATAATATTGGAATATTAGGTTGGATGCAATAAAATATGCATCCCTTTATTTTCTAGCTGGTGTTGGTGGGGCTTATTTGAATTACTTTACATAACGCTGGGTAATTCCATCTATATCAATATATCATACATTATTCAAATTCACTATCAATAATGTGGATCTGGAAAGTAACAAAAATTGTCAAATGAGTACCTCTAAATTGTACTGTTTTTGAATTATTAAATGCTCTGGGATACTCTCTGATTTAAAGGGCCCATGTCATGCTTTTCCGGTTATTTCCCGTCACCTTGTGTGTTATGAAGGTTTTTATGCATGTAAACGGTGTGCAGAGTCACAAACCCTCAAAGTACACCCTGTAGCGAGTAAAACTCTAACACAGAAAATACCTCCCCAAAACGCCTCGTTGGAGATACGTCATTGTCCATTTGATTCTTCCGGGTACGGCATGATGTTAAGCCGTACCCGGAACGAAATGGACCAATCCGTGGAGCCGTTACGTTACGTCCGCGGAGCCGTTACGTTAAGCCCCCGCTGATTGGTTCAAATTGACCAATCCACGGACTTCCTCACACACACATCTGTGTGCAGGGAGCAGGCAGCTGTGCTGATTTCTCCTCCCTGGCTGCAGGCTGATAACAGACAGTTGGGATCACGGCGAAATTCTCTCTGCAGACCCATTCTCACAGCGTTTATCAACCTTTTTCTTACTCAATATCAAGCCACACTTATTGTTTTTACTTCGGCTGTGACTTTGTGTGTGCTCAGGATGAGTTTGGCTATGTTTGGCTGTGTATCGCTAACAAGGAAACAACACCTCCACGGAGCTCAGCGCGATTCACAACGTCCCGACCATTCAGAGCACACTGTGTTCACAGGGAGGGTGGGGGCTGGAGCTATTGGAGCTACAACGAGCCGTTAAAGGCAGAGAGTGAAATTCAGTGAATACAAGTAGTTTACAGAGATGCTGTATGAGAAAACAATGTGAGTTTGGAAAAATGCACAGTATAAATCTATTCTAGTATACCTCAACAAAGGAATTATGATCAGTGGAAATGGCCATGACATGGGCCCTTTAATATCAAGTATGGAAACAGTGTGCATTGTAAACACTAAAAAAACACATTACGATTGCTTATAATCAAATAGTTTTCTCAGCTCAGCAAGTCACAATATGAAGTTATTATGGGAAAAAGGCTTGGTCGCTTTTGGAGCTAACAAGTGGAAGTGTATTTAAATATAATGCAGGTTTTACAGATGGAGGTGAACTCACTGGTGTAGAAGGTGTCCTCCTGCGGGTTCAGGTCTCTCGTACACTTCACAGCAAACACCTGGACGGAGTAGCGGGTGCCTGGAGTCAGGCTGTCGAGGCCAAAGGTCAAATCTTCAGTAGTAAAGTTGCGTTCCAGCATGTTGTCGCCTTCGGTAACCTCTACCCGGTAATGGGTGATATTTCCAGGCCCGGATCGCCAAGTGAGAATGGAGCTGTTAGAAGTCTTCTGAGTCACGTTCACTTCGCCAAAGAAACGATCTGCAGTGGGAAATCAGAGGGAAATTGTTTTATCCATGTTTTATCCATTAAAGTTTAAATTGAGAAATCAGAAAAGTTGTGTGGGTTCAAAAATGTGATTTATATGGAATGTATATTGTATGGCAGCCCTGTCATCAGTGTGTGAATTGGTTGTTAGACTAGTTGGCACATAGTGTAAAGCACTTTGAGTTGGTGGAAGACGAAAAAAAGGCTTTAACATACAAAAAGAACACAACCATACACAGTGAGTTGCTCAGGAAATGTATCCTGATTTTATTGGTTTTTCAATAGGCAGTAGTATGATTAAACCGCTGGTCAATGAGTAAAAGTAAAAATAATATGGGCTTTAAAGGTGTCCTACCTTCATAACATATGGAAGAGAGCAGCTCCGAGCAGACCCTTTCAACCCACGGCCCGAAGCTGAGCATGGCAACGCACGAGTCTTCAATGTAGTTTTCATCAGGCTTGGGGAAATCTGGCAACAGCACGTAATGCGCTTCTTCTGGCCACTGCGTTATTTTGCAACGAGCTGGGGTTGCTGGGGTTGCTGGGGTTGCTGGGGTTGATGGGGCTAATGGGGCTGATGGGGCTGATGGGGCTGATGCGGCTGATGCGGCTGATGCGGTTGCAAATGTGGTTTCTTGAAGATGACCAGTCGAGTTTCCTGTAGCTTGGATTGCTGTTGCTGGTGTGATCGAGTCTGGAGTTCCCGTTCCTGGGGTTCCCGAGTCTGGAGTTCCGGTTCCTGGGGTTCCGGTTCCTGGGGTTCCTGAGTCTGGAGTTCCCGTTCCTGGGGTTCCCGAGTCTGGAGTTCCCGTTCCTGGGGTTCCTGAGTCTGGAGTTCCGGTTCCTGGGGTTCCTGAGTCTGGAGTTCCCGTTCCTGGGGTTCCGGTTCCTGGGGTTACCGAGTCTGGAGTTCCCGTTCCTGGGGTTACCGAGTCTGGAGTTCCCGTTCCTGGGGTTCCGGTTCCTGGGGTTACCGAGTCTGGAGTTCCCGTTCCTGGGGCTACTGTTGCTGGGGTGACCTTTTCTGGGCAGACAAAGTAGTATCTGTTTGGGAAGGTGGATCTGAACACGGGCCAACCAGGGTACCAGTTCTGGAAGATCAGAGGGTCTCCGTTGGCCCAGCGGAACCACGGCATTCTGGGATCCATGATGGTGTTGTTGTTGTTGGTAGAGTTGCTGGTAGAGTTGCTGGTGGAGTTGCTGTTGAAGTTGCTGTTGAAGTTGCTGGTGGAGTTGCTGGTGGAGTTGCTGGTAGAGTTGCTGTTGAAGTTGCTGGTGGAGTTCTTGCGGAGGCCAACCCAGCAGTCAGAAGTGAGTAACTTGGAGACGGTTTGGACGTTTTCGGGGGTCAGTGTCACCAGGTCTTCGAAACAGGCCTGAGAGGACATGGAAGGGGACAGTCAATCTTCAACAGAACATCTGCTATAACGCAACTAGGTCATACTGTCATATTAAGAAAGTTAAGTTTGTTTTTTATATATACAAGTTGTGACACCTGCTGTTTTGTTAAAGGAGTTGACATCTATGAAAAAGATGGTTCTCTACATACTCAAATTGTTGTTGCCTTTCTACTCCTTGAATATTTGAATACTGTCGAGCCTCATGTTTTAGTCTCTTTTTGTATATTATACTGATCTTCGCGTTGTACCTGGCAGTGGTTCCTGGCCTCCTCCCAGGTGCGATTACTCGGATGAAGGAAGTATTCTCGCTCTGCGGCGCTCCAAGCAAACACCAGAGCTAGAGAGAGACATACAGGAGATTGGTCATTTGTCGACAAAGCTTTGAAGTAGGGAAATAAATGCCCTTTCCAATTTCTCAAACGCACAGATAAAATCTTTTCAATTTCGTGTTTTGTCCAACAAAGGGATTGAAAACAAAGAGTATTAAGGTATGAAAATGAAAAATCTTTAACATTTAATTTAAGAGGATGGGTGAGAGTAAACCGTTCTTTCTTGAAAATTGACCAACAGATTATTCTAATAATTACCTATTCAGATGATTCTTTCAAGACTTTTTTTTTTAATATTTCTCTTTGGTTCTAAACACAATCCAAAGTAATCTATCGATAATTATTTTCTTTTTTTTTTACCAAGAGTTAGAGATGACATTAAAAGGCAAACTTTGATTGAATTTCACAAACATCACTGGCTGTATTCAGTGGACCTCTAAAAATGTAATTCGGAATAATTGATTATAATTCTATTTAGCTGCAGCTTAAACATTTGCTCCATAAAAATGATTAATTATAATTATCAGAGGAATACAATTTATAAAAATACTCACCCAGAGAAACCACGATAGGGACTCTATTCTTAAGAGACGTCCCTCCCATGTTGAATTAGTGACGGTACTCAATTCAGGGCAGCTTCTTAAAATGTCACCATGCAAGAGATTCTGTCAAATAAAATCTAAACAAGTGGGAGCCAAGTTAAATAGATTAAAACTAAGTTAAACTAATACTGTACGCGTCTCATTACTCACCCAGGCTACAGATGCATATTGCTTCTCTGAACAGGAGGAAATGATCTCTCAGGATGAGATGTGAAACAAATAGACACCTGTTCCAGTACCACATACGGTCAAAGGTTCATGTACAGCTCATTTGACTGGAAAAACATTGACTCCATTCAACCAAGAAAGGGAATATGAGTATGGAGGCTGCTGGTTTTGCATCTGTCTCCTGTACATGCAAAACAGGGGGGGGGCAATAACCAGGTAGATACAAAAGACAAAAACACACATGTTGAATAAAAGAATACAAGAATAGATTTATGTTAAGCATTTATTTTGGCTTACAGCTTTGAGTTACAAAAATGCCAATTAGTACAAAAAAAGCCATGAAAAAATGACAATGAAAATATAGAAAGATAAACCTCTTATACAAAACTAAGTTCCCAAATCATCAACGAAGATATAGAAATGAAACAAATGCCTTTTGTTTATTTTTTTGGCAGTGTAAAAACAAAAAGTGGTTGACAGGGATCGGTCACATCGAGAACTGGTGACGCATTGCATGATCTGAGGCCAAACATTTAAACAGAACATCAGATCACATTTATTTAGTTTACCCAGACAGTAGTAATCAACATCTGAACAGTGTCTTGCATCTTACAATTCACAAAAGGTGATGTGATGCAAATTTGAGTGCTAATGTATTTGTTCCAACATTTTTCAACAGGTTCTACTGTATATAAAAGTTACATAAAGTAAAAGGGTGATCCAGCCAGCCCCATATCTACCGAATCCGCTGTTCATTTAACAAAAAAAAAGAAGCATGACAGCACATTTTACAGTTCCCTGCAAACAGAATCACCAGCATTCAAGAGGCGGCAACGCTGAGGTCAACTGACCGATGATTGGAAATAACAGGGCTGAAATGTAGTTACAGCTCATCGTGATAAAAAGAAAAGCAGCCAAGCTTTTGATCCCCTTCCCAGCTCACTTTTATGTCTGAGCTGGATGCAACATATGATCAAACTACCTAACATGGACGCACAAAAGCTTGGAATTATATAATGATCATATAATATGATGCCGTCAGGGTATCTGCCGGCGTCTTAATAGCCCGGCGGGTATAGTCACATCATTGCCAAGCGCCATAAGGCATGGAAATCTGTGTTTTTATTCATTTACAGATAAATCATTCCACTAGGTTTTGTGTAGGCTATAATGTTGATGCTTCCACAAGAGACAGCTTAATTAGCTTGCTTAAACAAGCTTATTAGGGTAGACATAAAAGGCAAAAAGCTGTTGCACCATTAATGCTGCAATCAGTATTTTCCCCCGCTGTGCCCCCATCAAAAAGAGACTTGGTCTCAAGTCCATGTCTAAACCCTGACAGTATTACAGCAACATTCATGGACAGTAACATCCATTCAAGTTCTCCAAGCGTGACTTTTAACAAATGGCAGTGACTTGTTTTAATTCAATCTTGCAACAAAAAAAAAAAAACTATGAAAACTGAAACATTTTCTTTAGATTTCCTCGACTAAAAACAACGTAAAGGGAGCGCTTTGTTAGCCGAGTGGTCACGGCACATGCCAAATACTGGTTTGTTTCTAGTTTGGGACATTTTGTCAAATGTTATTCCCCTTTTGTTCTTTCTCCCCCTCTTTTCTACACTGTCCTCTTGCAAATAAAAGACAAAATGCCAAAAATAAAAACACTTGTAAAAAATAATGCATTATAAATGACAACATGACTTACAAATGTAAAGATAGAGACTCGTATGAAAATCCCTGCCAAGGTTAACACTGATTTAATATAGTGCCTCCTAAACAAATTGGCAATTTTATAGGACCTCGAGGATGGAGCAGTCCTGCTTACAGTATGCACCCCCTACATAACCTATTCAACCTTTATTCATTTCTAAACGTCAAAAACACTAACACCGTAAAGTACTCTGAGTACAGTAAACGGTCGACGGCAGTACAGTTATCGGATCAAGCGCACGGAGGCAGGAAGTGGTATGATTTTGGCGAATAAAAGCCTGACATAAACCTGATGGGAGGGAGGGAGGGAGAAAGAGAGGACGTTAGTTCTCATGATCAAAGCGACAAACTCCTTAGTCGCTGTCACTCTTCTCTCCTCTGTTAAGGAGTCTCTTTCCGCTGGAAGGCGCAGCAAACTCCTGTTTCACCGTCACCCTGGTCTTAGCTTTCCTGTAGAGAAGAAGCAAGACCAATCCAGTGAGGGATAGAAATGATGGCATGTGAGAGATTCTTAAAATGATTGAATAACCTGGTAGTCAGATTTGATTTAAATATAACACACAGTGACCTCTAGTGTCAGGTTATATGTAAAGACGGGGCTAAAAATCCAGTTGGAGAAAGTTTGAACTGCAATCTCTGAAAGTCATTCAGGTGGTTTTCCAGGACGCATTTTTTACCTGTCTTTGTCCAGCAACTCCAGACCATCGTTGATTTTCTTCAGCATCTCGTAGCGCTCGCGACCACGAACCTGCAGGAGAAACCAAAGAGGGAAATTCTTCAAGCAGAATGCAACATTTTATAAAGAAATTGAGCTTTAGGTATCTTAACTTACATTCAGAACAAACACATCCTTGTCTTCCTCCTCTGCACTGGAGGTGGGCCTGGACTTCTTCACAGAACTGGAGCTGGGGGTGCTCTCTGAGGAAAGAGAGTGAGTTTAGCGAGGGGGCAGCAAACGGGCTCAAATATAAAAGGAAAGCAGGAAATACTTACTGCGCTTTTTAGTTTGCACGGTCCCGTTCTGCATCTTGGTGATGTTCTCCTCCTCGGTTTTGCGGTCCCTGCCTGGACAAGCACAGATGCGAACCTCTAAGCACCTCCGCCCCAAAACGAGCCCCCTAGGAAGGAGAAGAACAAAAAGGAGGGCTCAAAAGTCTTCCTGAGCAGCACTAACAACTTAAATGTAGCAGGACCACCACAACACTGCCGCCACCAGCGGCCTGACATGGGTTTTAACCTGTTAAGCCCCGAGCCTGTTTTTCAGGTTTCAGGCTCGAAAATGACATGCCCAAAACAAATGACTACAACTTCACTTCTAAAAGGGTTATATGAATAATTTATTTTATCAAAGCAAGGTCAGAAGTGTCAGAATCAATATAGATTTTTCTCAGTCAGAGTAAATTCAGATGGAACATAGCAAAAAAAGGTAAATTCTTACCTCCGCCTAAAGAAAAAACATTACTTATAGTGAAAACCACCCTTGAATGATGGGATGGTATACTAAAAGCTTTAGGAATCCAAACTATAACATATAATAAGTACCCTGTATCAAGATTGAGGCAAAACAAGTTAAATTTGACCTTTTTAGAGAGGTTTAGCAAAACAAAGTCCAGGCGGAATAAGCTTTCGGCACATTTGGGTATATCTGGTTCCATCAGTGCCATTTGACCTTTTTCAGGTACCAGACTATAAAAATGATGTATTACATTGAATTATCACCATAGGTATTCATTCCATTAAAATAAAAAAAAAAGAATAAAAAATTTAAAAATACCTTTTTTTTAATTTTTTTAAAAGACCCGCCGACTGGGCTTTTGGGCTTAACAGGTTAAAAGAAGTGGGACTTACTCTGCAGTCTCCAGGGTCAGGATGGTGAGGATGGGGCGCCTGTTCATGCCCCCCATGCAAGAGCTGTTGCACATGAAGCTCAGCAAAATAGTTGTTATCTCTGAGCCCAACTGAAACAGAGAAAGTAGGATGTTTTTAAACAATGCTGGTTAAAGTGCATACAATAAGGGGGAAAAAGGGAACTTTGCTATTTTCCTAAAATCTTCATCGACCCACCTGGTTGTCCAAAATGCACTACACTTTTGGAATTTGTGAAACACATCATGAATAGTTTCACAACTTTTGCATGGACATTGAATTTCCTTGCTGAATGTACAGTGTTCATATACTCACGTAGAAAAGGTCACATGAATGTGAAGGAGTAAAATATGACTGCTGTAGTGGACAAGATCAACCCCTCAGACAGATGGGGTGGGGAGGGCGTACCTGAGGGAGCTCGTAGGGGACAGTCACACTCTGCCTCTTGGTGTTAGGGTCCTCAAAGTACTGGGCCCTTTGGCTGCCCTCAACCCTGATCAGGTGGCTGCGGTGGTCGGCAGCTGAAAGGAGAACAGATTAGAAAATGTTAAAATGGCCTCTTCAACGAGGAAACGTGTCCTCTGTACATCCAAAGCAACTTTTCTCTAAAATATTTCTCTTACCGTCTTCGTTCTGGTGATGGGGACATCTGCGTACCACTTCTGCCACATGCTCCGTTTTTTTATAAACTGCCGTAGCCCTGATGATGGCCCCTAAAGGAATCTCCTTCCCCAACAAAACTTCCACTGGGGTGGTCTTGGCAAGCTGGCAGTACAGTTTGTTGAGCTGCTCCGAATACTGAGGGAAAGCACATGGAGAAACCACACGGGTCATGATGTGTGCACTTGTGGAGCTATAGAGCTGTGAGTACATATTATAATGGCATGTAATCCATCCAAGCTCTCCCAATGTTTTTACCATTTTCTTAAAACTGTTTTCTTCACTTCATGTTGACTGTGCTCACGCTATAGACCATATGCTGTGTTGAAGACAATAAGATGTCTATCTAACAAAGAAAACACTATTTAAAAAGTTTAAAAAAAAAAATTATTAAACCAAATTGTCGTCTAAAAAAGAAAGAAGAAAACGATCACGGTATCTAAATAAGCAAGTCTAAAAATGTCAAATTCAAAGACAACTTTTACCTTGCTGTTTTTAACCCATTCAGTGCTGGAGGAAGACAGCAGGAACATGCCCCGTCATGTCAGGGCAGACCTTTACAGCCGCTGTCCCACAGACAGAACAAGTCGCAGGGGGCGGGACTTTTAGGGCCCACCAACCTAACCTCTACTAAACCGGCCAACTGCAGCGCACTGCTGGGTGAGTCACCGTGGATACATTAATGCCATTGGCTTGTCAAACACAGTGACTGGCTCAAGACCTGCAAATTCAGCGAATCGTCACAATGAATAAGATTCCACTCGAATGCCACCATGAGATGTACGAAAGAATGGATTTTAAACGCAATACTGAAGGTAAGATATTGAAACTTTGTACGAAAAAACTTTCCCTAATGTTTTAAATGAGTTGTTGGTGATAAAAACGTAAAAATATTTGTTAGTGAGTTTAATATAGTCAAACATTTCAGTTATTTAACCTTTAAATTCTGTATGGTCAAGTCGGTTTAGATAAAGGGAATTCAAACGACACAGGTTCAAGGATTATACATTAAAAACACTATGGATGGAAGGACCTCAGAGGAGCAGGAAATGGCAGAAATTAGCAGCTGAAAAAATCCTTTTGTCTTCTCAGAGGAGAACCCTGCCATGTTTGGTTGCAGGATCATCTGCAGCCCTGTTCAACTTCTCTCTAACATTTAGATTCAGACGAAATTCTTTAAACGTTTTACTCAATAAAGTACAGATTTATTTTGTGTTAGTAGTAGTTTGTCTTATCGATCAGAACGGATACAAGACAAATCATCTGGTATACACGTGAAGTCAAATAAGTATCATTTTTAACTTTTGAGAGACCATGCCTGGAATTACTTACAGTCGAAGTGACAGATTTAGCTGTGCCAGTCTTCTGGAATTGAAGCTGGAATCCATATTCCCCCGGATGGTCCGAAGTCACCGGGACTGTGGAGGAAGTCGGATTCACACCATCCATGGTGGACATGTCCGGAGTAGGCAGCTCGAATATGGTCTCATCAAAACCCTCGGTCAGAGAATGATCATTAAGTAACTGTAAAAAGGAGGGGAATGACAAAGACAGTCAACCACCATTAATAAATCAATTCAGATTGAACATACCATCATTTGAGTATTGACAGAAAGCAAAGTAATGTGCATGTTTACCAGCATATCCATGTGGCCATCTGTTCTCCATGTTTCCTCAGGCACATTATTCACCTTTGGGAAGATTGAGATGGGGGGATCTGAACTTCAAAAACCAAACACAAGTCACAAGTTAGTCAACATGTCTTTTCTGGAGTATACTAGTATTTTGAAATGTTTTCTTTAAAAAAAAACACAACTTACACACTGCTCCACAGCTCACTGAAGGAGTCCTGGCTCAGCTGCATGGCTTGGCTCAATGTCAGATCGTCCAGACTTTGCTCTTCCATCATAATTTCAAAAAGGGAAGAGCAAAGGTGCAGAGCGCTAAGGGGATAAACAGGAAGTAGGTGTCAGACGGTCACAAGTCTTTAACAAACACTCACAGCTTCATCAATCAGTGTTTGACCCACTATTAAATAGTGTTATACATCTTTTTTTTTTGGTCAATAGATTGGTCAGAAAACAGTCAAAAATAATCTTCAATTCTCAAGTGATAAAAAGTTAGATTTCCCAAAAATAACACTTTTGATTAACAATAGGCATAAACAGAGTAAATAAACTAACATTTGAAAATAGATAGAGACAACCAGGATATGACTTCTGTTTGATGAATGACCTGTCAGCTAACTTACAATACACAGACAAGGAGAAATTCATGGCGAGGGTAACGAAATGTAAAGAAAGAATAAACATTGTACTTCGGCTGTCACACCGAAATTACAATTCACAGCGTTGAAAATAAGTAAAGTTTGCACTTATTCTTAATTTACTTTCTGCTCAATAAAATGCTAACTAACGCTGAAGTTAACCTATCTAACATTTAATATAATTGCACATTTCTAATATTAAAGCACATTACAGCAAGCTGTGTTTAAGTTAACAACTGAAACAAGGTAAGCTAGTTTGGTGATGAGCGACTCTCAAAACAAGAACATCAGACAACATGCTAACGTTAGCTTACGTTACCGTCCATTTTCTTTCTAGCAAGAGGCCCTCACAAACTGAATGAAGCTAGCCTCCATATCGGCACTTTCCAAAATAACTCAATGAATGCCACTTAATTTAACGCCAAAATGTGCAAACAAGCTTAACTCTATGGACGGTATAACAGGTTTCGTCACGCAATTAACGCACACTTGTGTTAGCTTAGCTTTAGCGTAAGTGGCTAATTACGTTGGCAATACGTTTCGGAATCCGACCGACAAACGTTAGCCAAACAGCGGCGAAACTTTTTTTTATCGGACAAATAAGTGGCGCTGGGTGACTTGTTAAGAATGACACATGTGTGCCAACAATGCTACCTTTATGTGTCCCACTACTGCTGTCCGAGGCAGATGAGTTACTGGATGAGGCGAAGTAAACAGCCGAAAAAGTCAAAATATTTTGAACTATGCGGAGCACGTTGTTGTCGGGGAATCCCACCAAAAGGAAGGGGGATGGGCAGGTTTTTAACTCCACTCGCTGGCCAATCACAGAGCCTCATGTGGTCGACGCAAACGAATGAAACATCGCGATATGCTGCTGCTGCTGCATTCATGATTCCCGGAAATATTCCAACTCGAGAAAGACCACACAAAAAATAGAGGGAGTTTCATGTCATGGATGTATATTTGTAGATTGTTTAATTATTGGTTACGGTTGGATTCAGATTAACCTTTATGTTGACAAACTCTGGAGTGACACACAGTCAGGTTTTACTTCTGTTTTCCGCAAAAAAACACTGAACATATTATGTCTTAGAAAATACTAGCTTCTTATGAGCATCTGAAGGTAACAGCACGTCCTTGTGAGGTAAACATGTATTTAAAAAAATAAGTTTACCCCCTATGGTTTAACCTCAAACTTTTAGGGCCCAACATTTATAATATACTACATTTTCCCCACTTAAAGCAGTTTTCAAATGACTAAAACAGTTTCTTAATTCAAACCATTGCATTGCATGACTGCATATGTGGGTGTCCAATTAGTTTTATTTTATTTTACATTGAAAAACAATCAGCATCATCAACAAACCATATTCGTAATGACATATTCCAAAGTATTACATGCACAAAACAATGCACAGTAAAGTCGTAACACCTTGCAGCTGGTTGAGTTCCTGTAAAGCTATCTTTGAGTGCAGAACCAGCATTACTCCAATGTTTCTCTCTTTCGAGGGAGGTCAGCGGTCAACTTAAAGCAGCATCACCTTACTTAAGGACTAAAAGGAATTTCTCCAGCATGATAGATAGTCCTACCGTTGTACTGTATATTGGGCTTAAAACTTGAGATGAAATCTGTTACTTTCACACTAAAACGCTGTGTATTGATTACATAATCTGCTCTTGAAATGTCCCTGTGCTGATTAGATAAACTTCTATTCCATGGAGACCAGAGCTGCTGAGAAACTCCAGTAAAGACTTTAGGTGCCTGCAGCTGCTGCATCGGGCCACTTGTGCCACCCTGCTGGTGTCTTATCCTGAACTGGCAAGAGTCTCATCAAAAGAGTACGCAGTGAACGTTGGTCCTAGGTGCATAGCATTTATGGGTGCCACTTTGGGCTAGGTGGCTGTTTGACCTTTGAGTGAATGTGCTGATGGTGCCAGCGGGTCCACTATGAATTTGATCCCACTGGCACTTCATACACATACAATAGTGAGTACTAGTAGAACACACGAGAAGGGCCGAGAGGGAAAAGAGAGTTTGCATATTGTTGCAACAAAATGTCAAACTAATCCAATGTTATGTGTAATTTAATATTATCGTGAGGTTTCCAGTGGTCACCAACCACAGTCTTGAATGACTGCAAGCGTGCTGCAGAGAGCTTCATAATTAGTTGGGGTGTTGCCACGCAGATACATGGCAATAGTCAGTATTGACTCAATGTGTAACTATCAAACACTCACTTTAGTTTGAAGACGCTGCAGTTTTAACTTAAAAACAAGTTTGTAATTTTGGTAAAAACCGTTATTTGCTTTGTTGCCGAGAGTTAGATGAGAAGATGGATACCACTCTCATATTTGTACAGTAAATATTAAGCCACAGCCAGAGGTCCAGTGGCGTAACTATCAACGGTCCAGCCGGTGCAACGCACCGGGGCCCCAAGCCGGCAAGGGGCCCATGCAAAAAAAAAGAATATATATATATTTTTTTTAATATTCTTTTTTAATATTTTTCTTTTGGGGCCCCAATGGCATTGACCGGTTCACGCAGTCTTCAAAGTAACCAAGCAACCTAAATTAATTTGTAATTTGTCTGTCCAATGACCTTTCTCCCTTTCATGTCATGTGATACCTTGCGTGACGAGCGAACCGTTTAATCAACCTGTACTGTACTATAGCTAGCAGCAGCAAGTTCGGCAGCATTATAAAAAATGTAATAGCTTGTATTTATAATGTACAGCAAACCAAAGCACAAGAGCGGCGCTCAAAAGAGAAAGGACAAGAGAGAACAAGGAGATGTAACAGCTAAACTGACAAAATTAGACGTTTTTTTTGTCATACATCGTCCTCGAAATCGAGCGCTAACGTTAGCAATGTTGACGTGCAGCGGCAGCCGGAGGATAACGATAGCTCACCTGCCTCACCACCATCATTGCCATCTAGCTCCACAAGTGAAGCTGTATCCGTGGTCGTGGCTGTGCAACCTTCTTCTCCAGCCAGCCAGGAGGAGAGGCTGGATTTGGCTGTGCCCGGCGGTGGTCCAACAGTTCCCCCAAGGGCCCCAACCGATAGGGGACTCTATTGATATGGCGCTATTGAGACCCCCGACGCCAAGATCAAAAGCTATATTATAGCAACCGGTCTATGTAGGCCTACCGGCCCATTCCCCAGAGACTAAGCAAACAGGTTTAATCCTCTTCTTAGTTCGCTGTGCCGCTGTGCCGCAGGCTGTGGTGGTCTGAGGCCAGGGCAGGCTGTTGTTGATAGCCTATACATGTGGTGCTTCTGAGTGGTTGTGTATGTCCGTGTGTGTGTGAGCGCATCAGCGTGCGCTTATGTTTGGGGCGATGGGGGTGGGCCCCAAAACAATATTTGCACCGGGGCCAATCACAACCTTGTTACGCCACTGCAGAGGTCAGTTAGCTTAGCTTAGCATTAAGACTAAAGTTAGCAGGGAAACAAATAGTCTGCCCTGTCCAATGGTAAGCAAATCCACCTGCCAGCACATTTCAAGATGATTAATTAATTAATCTGTTAAAAAATCTTGTTTCTCTTAGCCTAATTCGTTTTTGACGAGGTAGGCTAGCCGTTTCCCCTGTTTTCAGTGTTTTTGCTAAGCTAGCCAGTTCCGGGTGGTTAACACTTTTTGTTCTCGTGTTTATGACTAACTAACGTTTATCCTAAGCCTCTTGTCCCATAGTTTTAGCAATACTTACTGTACTCATTCTAGTAAAGATGCTTGTCTTTATTTATTTCATAGCTCACATTTACAATTGTTTATTTTTGATAGATTGTTACTTTAGTCAACTGAATTCACATCTATACCTCTTTTTGAACTTTGTTAAATCATAGTTGGTGATCTGCAGTTTAGTAAACGTTTTATTTGATGGTCATTCATTGTATCGATAAAGTAACCCAGAACTTATTTGTGTCTGAGGTTTTTAAACATATGATTTTATCGTTTTTCTCACAGCAGATGACTGGACTGACATGCAATTTGGTGTGACTGTGATTGGCTGTCCCACACTGTGACGCTGATCACACGTGCAACACCTGCCTTCCATCACGCGACTTCAGTGTAACATGATTTTGAACTGACTGACCTGCCAACCACACACAGACACACACAGACACACACACAGACACACAGACACACACACAGACACACACACACACACACACACACACACACACACACACACACACACACACACACACACACACACACACACACACACACACACACACACACACACACACACACACACACAATTGGGCATGACATTTTGGCATGACATTTTGGTATTTAATAGACGGCAATCACATGATGTGTGAGGTGTGTTTGGGGATAACACAGGTGACATTATGCATTGTGAAATAGGGCTGAGCATGTGCATTTGGTTACAAATATTGACCAAATCGAGCAAGGTTGTGCCTGTACGCATATTTATAAGATTTTCTCAGTCAGTACTTGTAGTTATATTCTTGTTCTTGGCTCTCTCTGTATGAATTCATGTGATACTTTTTGGAAATCTCTCCCTGCCCCTGGTTGCGCACATGAACCATTAAACTATATTGGTGATGCTTCTACGCCACTGTTCTGATGGTGTAAAGTTTCTCTACATTTAGTCATAGTCACACTGACCCACATGACTATGCTTGGGGCCCCTTGGCTCTGCATGACGGGTGTCAGGTTCTCTTTCTCAATGTTCGAATGTGGGCAGGAAAAAGCAGTCGGCAAGCGTGGCGTGATGTGGAGGTGTGTCAGCGAGGGGGTGGAATTGAATCATTTGTTTAAGAGATCTAGAGCAGATATTTTTCCACTGAGCTCTTTGGCATATCTGTCCTTTTCCCGCCCAGTGTAACCCTCCCACAACACACCCCCTAATACCCGTCTCGGACACACCGTCTCTCCATCCCCAAACTTCCCCTAACAACATTTACACCACTAACTCGGGTGGCATGGCCCAAATTTAGGGTCCACCTGTTGCCTGCTGGAGGAGGATTAAGCTTTGTTTGGAGGGGGAGGGTTTGGGGAACGTGGTAAGCGACCCCATTGGCATGTGATCTGAAATAGAAAGGGATTTATGGCTGCTGAGAGGACAGACAATGGCAGTCAAAGGACGAGCCCCTGTGTACGAGAAATGATGAGTCATAGAAGATAGCTGTTGGACACTGACTTGGGTTCGTCTGAGGTCCAACACCGGTACAATGATAACATTTAACATTCTATTGGAGGTTGCTTCACAGATTTTTGATTTAAAAAATCTGATATTTAAAGGTGGGGTAGGTAAGTTTGAGAAACCGGCTCGAGATACACTTTTTGTTATATTCCATGGAATGCTCTTAACATCCCGAGTACAGCCGTAGTACTGTAAAAAGCACGACCAATCATTTTAGCCGGCCCGGCAGTGGCGACCGCCCCCCCTCTTCCCACATAAAAAAAAATATATATATATATATATATTTAAAAAATATATTTTTTATTTTTATTTTTAATAAACAAGGTAAATATTATATAATTGGTATCAGTAAAATGTATAATCTACAATAAAATCTCGTTTAAAATTGTGTTATGATGTCTAAAGTTACTGATAAGTCACATGTTTCCTGCCTGGCCTTGCCCGTGTATCATTACTCCCTCTCGTCTGGGCGCTATGCACAGCGCCCAGACGAGAGTGCAGCAAGTGCAGCAGAAGCCAACTGTTGCTATCTTTAAACTATGCCGCTGAAACATAATTTCAGCCAATCAGCGTCGTCAAATCTGATGGTCACAGGGCTCCTACGTGAGCGCCCGGTGCAGTCTGTGAGTTGTTTGGACTCATATCCAAGGAGACAAAACAGGAAGCTGTCATACACTCTGGAAGCTACCATTAGCAGCTAATGAAAACTCAGTTTTTGACATAAAAATGGAATTATGGATCATCAACCATTTGTGACAGACACATTGGATTAACCTTCAGCTGCGTTTTTCTCGTTTTTGATCAGAATTGTTATTCTGCAAAAGGTGAGCATATCTCCGTGTTTTGCTACCTAAAGCTACGTCGTGTGATGTCTGTATTTGCTTCCCCTGTCGCGAGTTCTGATCGCTCAGTGATGATACTTATATTTCTAGAATCTGTGGAATCTCAGCTTGTTAGCACAGTTTATGCTGTAGAAACTATGTCCAGGACAAGGTGTTTGGAAGTTTTGGAAGATTCATAGCTAACCACACTGAAGTTATGGAGGTATTGATCAGTCTTTTCTCATATTTTTAAGCCTCAAATTGTCCTTCCCCCCCCCCCTCTAACATCACCAGAAGTCATAATTTAGGGGGTCTTTTCTCAAAAAAATGCCCCCTAGTATTGTTTGATCACCATTTCCACAGCCCCACCTAAAATATTTTCCACCAGCCGCCACTGCGCCCGGCTAAAATAACTGGATGGCCTACCTGCCTGTCAGCCTTCCATCTGTGCACAAACTTATCTCGTGCCCTCATTGGTCATGTGCGTGTTCGTGTGTGTTGGAGGAGGGGCTCTGTAAGGAAGTGGCAGATTTTTTCCGGCTGTGTATATTCAAATTCTAGCGCACTCAAGCTGGTTTCTCCAAAATTACCTACCCCACCTTTAACATATGATTGCAAATTTGCATCTCATGATCACAGAAAAAGATTTAGATGTGCCACATCATTGTATTCGAATGTCTCTTTTTAGCACTGAATTCTTTAAAATGCATGACAACTGTATGCAACAATTATCATATGTTTATAAGCCTTAAGGCTTATAAACATTGATACCAAATTTGGCCATCAGCAAACCTCTGGCTCATGAGCTACAGGGATAATTTATTAATGGCATCTTAATATGTAATCACAGCAGCATTCTCACTTTCCTTCATCGCCTTGACACCATAATAAAAAACAGATCCCCCCCCCCGCCCCGTCTGTAAGAAAGTTTTATGTTGCACTTCATGGTTAGCCAATAGTAGTTAAGGTTAAAAAGGCCTCCTGCTGGCGTCTCGACCTCTGCTGAACGACCTCAAGATCAGCCTATTGGGCCCCTCTGGCCTGGAGCAGCCTCACCCCCGACCCCCCCCCCGACCCCCCCCCCCCCCCCCCCCCCCCCCTCCCTCTCGATACGAAGAGAGGCGTGCAATCGGTGTGCGGGTGTCACTCTATCCAAGCTGGACGGACACAACACAAAGTTGAAAGAAGAAGAGAGGACACCCTGCAGCTCAGGAGAACCAGGCTGATCGCTTCGGGATTCTCTTTTGGATTGTACCTTTCAGACCTCTTTTTGTTGCTGAAGTGCGAAACGTTTCAGTCGGGGCTTGTTGTACTTTTGAGGGAGTTTCACGTGTCTCCATTTGGCACCAGACGCATCTGTCATCGACTGCTGCTCGGTGCCTGGAGCTGCCAAAGTCATGCCGGCCGGGTTTCAGCAACTTGGAGGGGAGGTAATGATTTTTAGAGTGCTCTTCACAAATGTTACATGTGGCTGGACCTGCCTTCAGTTTGCAAAAGCGAAGGAAAGCCTTAATTTTGTTCGGTGCGCATTTGTATTTGGTGAGATTGTACGCACGGTTTAATCTGGGTAGAACGCAAAGACTGTTAGAGAACATCATTTAATATCTATGCCGGATTTATTTTGCCTAACATAATCCAATAAATAATGAAACACGTTGATTTGCTGGGCAAAAAATAATCAGAAAATAAAAATAGTATAAATATAATTTATTTAGCCAGATCTAGAACATGTTGTGTAGTGTCAACGTTGACAGTAAGCAAAGACATGGCCTATTTTCTCATTGACATAGTCTAAAAATGATAATATCAACAACAATGTCCTCTGTAACATCCAGTAACAACACAAAGTCAGCCCTGATCTGAACGGGTTTAGCCCTTATTTAGTCCTGAGCAGTGACCTTGGCCAACCAAATGTGCGAGTTGACAGGTCAGAGCTGAGTGCTGTGGGTTGTTAAAGGCCTCCTAGTTTGATTGGTTCCTTTTCACCTCATAAACAATGCCTGTGTTGTATGCTACCAGAAGTTGTTTTTGAGAAAAGCTTTATAGATCAGGTGGATGTCTGAATAAGTCTTAGGTGTCCCTCCTGGGATTCTGCACAGTTTAATTTCAAATCTGGAAACAAGAGAGAGTTATTTTAGAATGCCATGTACGAACACCATCTGTGAACAGGTTGATGCTCCATGGATGTGGGCACATTTGCTAACTCAGTCCTACAGTGTAAAATAAATAGTGGAAACTTAAACAAAGCAAAAAGCAAACACACTTTATGAGGTCTAAGGAATCAGATTCATTCATGATAAGTGAGAAGTAAATGAATTACCGAGCATTCAACTATGTCATTTTTAATGAAAAGCAGTTACCATTAAGTGTAGTAGAGCATAACTGACGGCTCCTGAGGTTTGAACTTTTCTGTTGCAAGGACATGTGCACACACACAAACTTTTGTTTTGGTCCATGAACACTAAACAGCACTTATCTGGGGATTCAACACAGCAAGGTCAAGCCAGTGTTACAAATGTACTACACACATATTACATGCAAATAATAATCCACTGAAACCATACAATACGAAAAGGCGGTTTGGCCCACATTTGAGTTTAGAGTCACATGACATTGTTGTTGTCAGGAGGCCCACATCATCAAAATGTCAACTTTACAGTAAGCCACGCTGGGTGTGTCTTCAAAGACTTTGTGAGCCTTTCCAAAGCTTTTAAAATCACCACGTTTTTCTGTCAAACTGTTCATATTTTAGCATTAGGCTGTTTTGTAACTTACATGCAGGTTAATGAAAGGTATCTTTAAGACTTAAACACCCTTTGAGGGGAAGACCCAATGTCCCGAAGGTCGTCTCATCTCTCACCGTGGAGACAGCTGCTTGTAGCCTGCTGGGAAACAGGAGGGAAGTTAAAGAGAGAGATCTGTTCTCATCAGGATCACAGTTATATATAGTCAATTGTTGGCGAGAGTAGAGCTACAGTACAGAAATGAATCCAAGTTGTCCATAGTACACTTTACGCTTAATGTTCCGACATATGTGTTTTTACCTCTCTGTATGTTGTTTCTTTGTACTTCAGACAGTGACTGGAACCTTCGTTCTCTCGGTCTTCACGGCTGTCCTGGGATCTCTGGGCTTTGGATACAACATTGGCGTCATCAATGCACCGCAGAAGGTAAAAATGAAGCACTGATTGCTCAGACGATGGTCAGAATCAGCCAATAAATCCTATACAAACTTGCCAAATTGGTGCTAACATTACATCAAGAAGGTGTGTTTAGGAGTTCTGTTGTTTAAGGCGGGAGGCCGTGACATTTTACCAGATGTCAACTCAGCTGTTTCTTGTATTTTCCTGATTTGATAATGCTGCTTCAAACGGTGCCAATGGTGTTTAGAAAATACACTTGGAAAATGACAATACATTCCTGGCACATGATGCATTGATATATATACAAGGGAGTTATGAAACAGCAAAGCAAGTTTATGGAGCATCTTAGTTGTGTTTATGGAAAAACAGCAATGCCAAACCCTGTCTTGTGTAACTGCAAAGAGGGGTATTTATGCTTTGTTTATGAGGAAAAGGGGGGTTATTGGATTAGATTTACTGTCAGATCTGGGATGCAACATAGTGCTGCACAAACCTATGGAGCCTGTTTATTAAACACTAAATATATATATATAGATGGAGGCACATGATTTTTGCAAACCTGACATGCTCTTGCTGCTCATGTTGCAGCCACACGAGGTGTTCCAGAATGAAGGCATGCTTGGGTACTGCATGTGAGAAATATGTGATTTATGACTTCCCCTACATGCATGTTGCCCTATTATAAGGACTGGTACGTGTCAATAAATACTTAATAAATACGTCACATAAAACAGTGAACACATTTGTTGGACATTAGTGACATAGAGTCTTAGAGGTGAATGGATGCAGAGAACCCGAGCCATGTCAGGTGAGGTTCTCTGACTCGGTGTTGGCCTATCTTTACACTCAACTACAAACACCCCCCAGCTGACGGAGTTTCACTGAGCCAATACACCTAGAATAGAAGCTGAGCCGATGTGTCTATGTCTGATGGTTTTGTCACCCGTAACAATACAGCTGAGAGAGGCTACCAAGTGCTGGTTGTTTCAATACAAATAAAACATGTGTTTTAATAAACATAACACATTTTATTTTCTACACTTTGCTCAACTAATGGATTGTCCTCCCATTTTTTAAACTTTTACTTTGTTGATAAACCCTTTGCATTTATTTCGATGCAGTTCCAGCTCATGAGCCTATATTCAAATAAAATAAATTGTTTAATGGAAATATAAGCATGTTTTTAGGACACTTATTCTAATAAGAAGAAGACAATTCAACTTATTGTCATTAGTACAGGTACTATGTAACAAAACGGTGTCTCTGCATTTGACCCATCCTAGTGTTAGGAGCAGTGGGCTGCCATTATGTACGGCGCCTGGGGAGCAGTGTAGGGAATAGTGCCTTGCTCAGGGACACCTGGTCAGCACTTGGTCTTTCCGGGACTTGAACTGGTGACCTTCCAGTTGCCAAGCCAAGTCCCTATGGACTTCGCCACCACCGCCCTATGGGTGTTCATAATAATGACATACATTCAATGCCAGCTTTTTGTATTTGTACTTTACAGCTTTAAAGACTCTGTGCTACTGACACATTTTTGTCACCCCCAAAAAGGATTGATGCTTGGAAATCAGCCTTTGATGTCAATCAAATGTGTTAAATTTACAAATGCTGACTTTCAATCCCAGTTATCAGGGCCACAAACCATGTAGGCTATCAAAGAGACTTTAACTCCTAAGTAGTTGGGTTCCAGGGTAACATGTTTCCGGGTCTCCTCTCACCTCTGTGCAGATCATCGAGCAGGAGTACAATTCAACATGGATCCAGCGGTATGGAGAGCCCATCCCAGCGGGGACCCTCACCACCCTCTGGTCCTTGTCCGTGGCCATCTTCTCCATCGGTGGCATGCTGTCCTCCTTCTGTGTGGGCTTCGTCTCCGAGTGGCTGGGCAGGTAGGGAAACACACAGGATGCAACAATGGTTTAGGTTTTCCTACTCAACTGTGGAGATATTTGTACAATGTTCTTTTAAATGAACCTGAGCCTATTCGGACAAATACAAATATTTTATATCCTCCAGTCTTCAACTGATTTACTACATTAAAATTGTACATTCAGGGTTTTTTAGGTAGGTGAGTAGGACAATCAACAATATGCTGCCCAATACAATCCTTAGGCCCCATTTAGATTAAATGCATATTACTATTTAAATTATTTGAGCAAAAACAGAGATATATCAATGTAAACAGAAATGCCTTTAACTGCATCGCACCTAAATAAACCTTGATTACCAGAATATTGACATACTGTATAGTTAATCCACTCAATTATTTTCTGAGTCAATGCTTTCTTTATTTTTGGACAGTCAGGTACATTTACAAATATGTCAGTGGCCAAATATTTGAGTCATGATACATCAGGGTCTCCTTTCCACCTCTGCATGGATCCAAAATGGATCCCAATGTCCAGCCTGTAGTCACTGAGGAAACTCTTCCCAGGATGTTCCTTGTCTACCAAGCTTCCCTCTGTAACCTGAGCTGGGATGTGAGCTGGATTGCAGCCCACATTTTGAACTCACTGAAAGGGGATCCAAACAGAGCTGGCAGCACTGGGTCAGGAGGGGTTGGGGGGGTGGGAGCATTCAGCTTCGGTGCACTCAGGACAAGGTCTTCCTAAAAAAAGCAGCGGACATCGATTTGGCTGTTGAAGACAGTGGGAACCGCGTCGAACTCTGAGGTCAAAGTGATTTAGATGCAACCTAAGTCTCCAGTGCACAAAGAAGAGTGGGTGGGTGAGACACAGTGGAGAGGAAAATATGGGGGGCACAGGTTTTACTACTGTGCAGAAGGATTTATGTGCAGAAGGCGACTTGAAGAATGTTCACATTTTTCACATAATCTTCTAAAATTATACACACATTTTATTTTCCCACCATTTTCCAGATATGTTTTTGGAAATGTTTGGCATATATTTTGGATGTAAAGGATATAGGAAGAGAAAGTAGATGTAATTTTTTCAAATTTTTAACAAGGCAACTGATCATCGTTGTCGGTAAATAAACATATCGCCTTCATCACATCCCGTCTGGACTACTGCAATGGAGTCCTGTCCGGGGTTCACAGCAAAACCCTGGACAGGCTCCAATACGTCCAGAACTCTGCCGCCAGGCTTCTCACCCGCACCAAGCCATGGCAACATATCACCCCCACCCTCATCCACCTACACTGGCTGCCGGTCAAGTCCCGGATTCAGTACAAAACACTCCTCCTCACGTACAAGTCCCTCCATACCCTCGCCCCCCAGTACTTATCGGACCTCCTCCATCCCTACACCCCTTCTCGGAGTCTGCGGTCCTCAGACACGGGCCTGCTCTCCATCCCCCGCTCTCGCCTCCAAACTGTTGGTGACAGGGCGTTCAGTGTTGCGGCCCCCACCCTCTGGAATGCACTTCCTGCCGAGATCCGTAATGCTGCCTCCCTGGACATCTTCAAATCATCATTAAAAACACACCTGTTCACCCTGGCCTTCGGGCCCTAGCCCTTTCTTGGTCCCCCGGCTTCCTTTTTTTTTTTTTTTGCCCTTTGATTGTCTGTTTGTTTTGTTTGTCCACCATGTACAGCGACCATGCTTGAAAGGCGCTATATAAATATCATTTATTATTATTATTATCAGTATAATTAGTATTCAAAGCAGAGCAAAAAAGGCTTGTTGGATCTTTAAAATATAATGATTTGTAAGAAAGGATTTTTTGAAATAAAGTCAAATATGTCCTATTAAAGTCACAATTAACAATTACTATTAATATCAGACAATGATTACGCTACTAACGAAAGCCTTCAATATTGTTGTACAACACTGCTCTCTGGAGGCTAAAAGAGGTCTGTCTAATTCATTTAGTACCATTATAACGTATGTTAAAGACCCATTATATCTTTGTTCCAAATGCAAGACTCTCTCTGAGATCCTTTGACTTAAAATGTCAAAGTACAATTTCATGTCTGGGGAATTTCTACAAAGATGTTTGTCTGTGTTTTTCTCCAGGAGGAAAGGAATGCTCATAAACAACATGTTTGCCTTCGTTGGTGGAAGTCTGATGGGGTTGTCCAAGCTCTGCGGCTCCTTTGAAATGTTGATCCTCGGCCGCTTTGTAATCGGTCTCTACTGCGGTGAGAGATCCACTATTCTCTATTTCTCATTTGTTTAATTTACGTAGTATTACTTATAAGTACATTGCCGTAACGGCTACTCTTTTTTTTCTCATCCAACCTATTCTCTCTGCAGGGTTGGCATCAGGCTTGACTCCGATGTATGTGGGTGAGATAGCTCCTACAAGTCTGCGAGGGGCATTGGGGACACTGCACCAACTGGCTATAGTCACTGGTATCCTCATAGCACAGGTAGGACAGCACACCCTAATATTAATGTTGCAAAAATTATGAAACTTTTTCTTTCTTTAGTCTGCATATTTTTGGAATAGCCCTTACTTATTAGTATAGTATTAGTATAGTTTAATTTCCTATTCCCTCACACTTGATCCCTCTCTCTTTGCAGATCCTCGGTCTGGAGTCCTTACTGGGTGTTGAACATTTGTGGCCAATTCTGTTGGGTTTAGCAATCGTTCCAGCTGTTTTTCAGATGGCACTTCTGCCTTTCTGCCCCGAGAGCCCCCGCTTCCTCTACATCGTCCGCTGCCAGGAGCACCAAGCTAAGAGAGGTGAGCAAGATGCTAAGTGTTTGAGATATTGGCTGTAGAGATGTCTGTCTTCTATCGATCATAAAGGAACCAGATGTGTCTCCGTTTGTGGTGCTTGTAGTGCCACAAAATACTTTTTAATAACTCTACACTACAGCAATGTCTCTTTTAAAAAATCATGACCTGCCCATTTAAGATAATCCACAAACCTAGACATGAGCAGTTTCAAAAGGGAATTATTACCTTTTTTTTAACCAAACTGTACAAGAAATAATGAGCTACTTGTCAATTAGTAGATGCACACTTTCTTATGTGCTGTGATATGGTTGGAAGGTGAAGGCCGGTTGAAAGAAAAATAGTTCCTACATGAATGTCTTACAACATGGGTCCGTTGATTATATTGAGAAACCGGATCGTAATATCAGGAAAGAGAAACTGCTGCGGAGTTTTTAATGTATTCTTTTCCTGCTTTGAGCCGATGTGCTAACTAGCCCTATTATATCTCAGAGAAGGCAGACATCTCTACAGCCAATATCTCCAACCATGCTGTACTAGAAGACATCACGTAATATTTCTGCGTCTGAATGTACTAGAACAGGTGTCTAAATGTCCCAAAACTCAAATAGAATATGTTAATCAAACATACAGACCTCTTAGATATTACGCTTTACATGTCTCCTTTGTGCAGGCCTGAGGAGGTTAACGGGGAGACAGGAAGTGGGCAGTATGTTGGCGGAGATGAAGGAAGAGAAGAGGAAGATGGACATGGAGAGGAAGGTGTCCATCCTGGAGCTCTTTCGCTCTAAGCTCTACCGGCAGCCCATCATGATCTCCATCATGCTGCAGCTCTCCCAGCAGCTGTCTGGGGTCAATGCAGTACGTGTTATATCACATTATTCTTGAATTTTTTAGTTGTACAAATGACATCAATTCACTTTGCATAGAGTCTCAAAAAGGAAAGTGAATCAGTGCTGTATAATATGGCGTCATTTTGATCTGATTTCCCCTCTGGTCAGATTTTTTACTACTCCACCAGTATCTTCATGAAGGCAGGAGTCCAGAGTCCAGTCTATGCCACCATAGGAGCAGGCGTGGTGAACTGTGCCTTCACTGTGGTCTCGGTCAGTAGCATATCTCTGATTTCTAATATCTCTACTCCTTCCTTATTAAATTACCTCATTTTGAAACTTTAATCTTTAGTGAATTTAGAATGATGAAGAAAACAGTCCTGCTATGTAGCAAAGCATGTCTCTTATGTCATGGCCATTTCTACTGATCATAATTCCATTGTTGAGGTCTACTAGAATAGATTTACATTGTTCAATTTTCCAAACTCACATTGGTTTCTCATACAGCATCTCTGTATAGTATGTGTATTCACTCTCTGTCCTAAACGCCTTGTTGGAGCTCCTGCCCACCCCCCCCCCCCCCCCCCCCCCCCTCCCTATGAGCCCACTGTGCTCTGATGTGTGTTTATGTGTTACAATGGCATTTGTTAGCAACGAGAAAATGACACCAGCAATGACAAACAGATGAGAATGCTGCGTGGGGTCTGGGTGCCGTGTTGGCGGGACGTTGCGGGGCTCGCTGCTGCGAGGAGCGGACAGTGTGAGCTGGATTACTGCTGGTGTTGTTTCCTGGCTGCTGCGTGGGGTCTGCGAGACAGCGAAACCCAGCCCGAACCCAGCCCGAGCACACACACACACACCCGCAGCCTCCCCGCGTCCCAGGCTGAGAAATCCGCGGAGCTGCAGCTGAGAAAAGATTGAGTGTGTGTGTGTGAGGAAGTCCGCGGATTGGTCCAAACGTAATGGCTCCGCGCACGTAACGTAACATCACTATACCCAATACGTCACTGTACCCAGGAAGAAAAAGAAAAATCTCCAACGAGGCGTTCTGGGGCAGCATAGACAGGTCTTTTCTGTGTTAGAGTTTTACTCGCTACAGGGTGTACTTTGAGGGTTTGTGACTCTGCAGACCGTTTACATGCAGAAAAAGCTACATAACACACAAGGGGACGGGTAATAACCAGAAAAGCATGACATGGGACCTTTAACAATGTTATCAAAGAGCAAATAACTTAACACTACAGGTTCTTCTTGTGCCTGCCTCTCAAACATTCCTGCGTCCAAATAGGTCAAGTTTGGTTTAGCTGGTCAAGATCATTTCAATGTCACAATATTGGTCACGAAGCAGGACTTTTAGCTGGTAGTAGCATCGCTCTTTGGTGTGTCCACTATTTTCTGGTGATCCACCATCATGTGGTTGCGTGTGCTCATTGCTTGAAATTTGGTATAAAAATTAATATCCTCCTCAAGGTGAATTGTCAAAACTTTGATGACCATTATTATTAGCTTAAGCTGTAGTTGCTAATGGACCTCAATTAGCAAACGTTAGCATGCAAACATGGGCAACATTAAACCTGCTAAGTATCAACATGTTAGCATTGGTAGCATTTGGCTCAAAGCACCACTTTTAAAGGGAATAGAGCTGCTAGCATAAATAAATAATCTAGCTTTCTTTGTCAATGAATCATATTTCAGAACAAGCTAGGTGAAAAGCTAACTTAAGCAACCAAAGTAGAATAGGTAAGGTTTACATCCAGTCACCTCCTGAGAATAATTCAGTGTTACCCCATTTTCTTGTTATTTACAGCTCTTCCTGATAGAGAGGATGGGTCGGCGGACGCTCCACATGCTGGGACTTGGCGGGATGGCCATCTGTGCCGTCATCATGACCATGGCTCTTGCTCTGTTGGTCAGTCTCTGCAGAGAAGCAATTATTCATCTACTGTTATGGATGTTGTCTGTACAAACCACTGAACCTCTTTTCCTACCACCTGATAGGAGCATGTTCCATGGATGAGTTACATCAGCATGCTGGCCATCTTCGGTTTTGTGGCCTTCTTTGAGATCGGTCCGGGTCCCATTCCTTGGTTCTTTGTAGCTGAGCTCTTCTCTCAGGGTCCAAGGCCGGCCGCCATGGCTGTAGCCGGCTTCTCCAACTGGACCGCTAACTTCATCATCGGCATGTGCTTCCAATCTGTTGCTGTGAGTATTACTTACCTTGATGATGTTGGGGATATTCTAAACAAATAAGTATGGTCTACTCATTCTCTAACTGTAATCTGTACTTTTCCCCATCCTCTTCCAGGACGCTACTGGGCCATATGTCTTCCTGATCTTCGCATCACTCCTCATCGTCTTCCTAATCTTCACATTCTTCCTTGTGCCAGAGACACGGGGCAAAACATTCGACCAGATTGCAGCAAACTTCCAACAGCGCTCTGCAGGAATGATGGATATGGACCTGGATCTGGACCTGGATCTGGACAAGCCCAGCACCGAGCTGGACTATTTGGGGGAGGAAAGCAACCACTGAGGGGTCTCTCTGTAGGGAAATTAGACTGTGTTTAGCTTGGGATGAACTGTGTATGTGGGCCTGACTCTAAAACTTTATTTTCTGACATGTATATTGAGGTTAATTGATGTATTCATATAGATTGTTGTGCCAAAGCAGTGTTAAAGGTGTGTGATAAGTGTCCTTTCCTGGTACTACTGCAATATTGGGTTACCAATTGAGCCTTGACAAAGAGGAGACTACTGTAGTTTAAAGAATTAAGATGTACTTCAAAGCTAAGTGTCTCCATTGTTGAGGCATAGCCTGTGCGTGTGGTGGGATGTTATTCCATGGTGATGCACTCTGTGGCAATATTGACAGAAGACGGAGGTGGAGAGACTTGGGATTCCTGCACTTTATGTACAGAGACATCTATAGTTATTCAGAGTTTGGAGGTAACCCCCCACCTTCAAGAATAAGATCAAAGTAATGTGCTTACATACTTTGTACTCAAGCTGGGAACACTCCTGTGTAAATGCTACCGATTCAAACACATTGACAGCATTCAGATTGTTATAATTTAGGGTTCGTCCGAAAGTTGTTCAAATGTAAATTTGAAGGGACGTCATGACATTTGGGTTTTGTGAGTGTTTGCTGTCCCAGAACTTAAAATAAGGCAACCCAAGCATTTCTTATGTGGGCTGCCTGAAAGACTTCATTGCCAAACTGCAATTTCAAATCATGAAGTGTCGACCCAGCTAAAGCAATCACAACATATATTTCTGATCATGAGAAACGTATTGCACAACCTGCAGAAATGCTACCGTTAAAGAAATTATATTTTAGTACTCCATGTGTACATAGTGTTTTATTTGGTTGTTGATATCAAGGTATGAGGGTCTAAATGTTTCAATTCTTTATGCACTCCAGTGGTTGTTTGGTCGTGTAAACAGAAGCCTGATGCACTAGACTAGAGAGTTGTGCAACCAAAGGGCTGCCTGTATAGAGTAGATTATTATTCTGTATTTTTCTGTCATGTGTGCCATTTATTCTTTATTGGTGTGTATCATTACCTTCTGAAGATTTCTATTGAGGTTGTTCAGTGAGGACCTGTTATTTGTATTATGAATTGTGATGCTGCTGTCAATAGGATACTGTAAATAAGGTTACTGAAAACACCTGTGAAGGTCTCCAGTGATTTCTATATAGAATTATAAATTGTGTTGCATTAAAGGTGGGGTAGGTAAGTTTGAGAAACCGGCTCAAGATACACTTTGTTATATTCCATGGAATGCTCTTAACATCCCGATAGCAATGAATATCTTAAGTGCTTTGACAAAAAATCCATAAAAAATGTTCATCTGTGGAAGCCGTAGTACTGTAAAAAGCACGACCAATCATTTTAGCTGGCCCGGCTAAAATAACTGGATGGCCTACCTGCCTGTCAGCCTTCCATCTGTGCACAAACTTATCTCGTGCCCTCATTGGTCATGTGCGCGTTCGTGTGTGTTGGGAGGAGGGGCTCTGTAAGGAAGTGGCAGATTTTTTCCGGCTGTGTATTTTCAAATTCTTGCGCATTCGAGCTGGTTTCTCCAAAATTACCTACCCCACCTTTAAGTACTCCAATTTTTTTTACACAAATGCGGACAAAAGTAGTCATATGTGCACCCTATTCATGAAGAAATAAGTACTGCATCTTGAGATTTGCAAACATGATTTATTCATTAACATTTCAACTACTGACATTGCACATAATCCCCTCCAAAGAAAAAGCACACACAAATAAGTAAAACAAAAAAAAATTATTTTTATCAATCTATCCTCAACTGAGGAGATGAAGGGAGTAGTTGTTTTTTTAAGAATGGATTGAGGTGGCAACAGTACTGACTCCCACAATGCACCACCAACCCAACACCTGCTTGGTTTTTCCCCTCTTCAACCACATTTTAAAAAAGGTAAATAAAAATCAAGGTTGGTTCCTCTATAACTACTTGATGCGTCCCGTCCAGCCAATTAAAAGAAAACACCTTTTTTTAAAGGGGGGTTGGAATAACTGGGCTACCAAGCAGATTTTCTATTATAATTTTTTTTAAAGATGCACTTACAATGTCTCAATATGCACACAAAACTACCTTTTATCCCCCCATTTCCCTACCTCATCCCTTTCCAGAAATCAGTGACTAGACAGGACAACACAACACAAGACAAAATGAGAGGGGTGGGGGCCGGAGGAATGACAGCAAGACAGGGTGGGTTGGAGGAGGGTTGGAGGAGGGAGGGGGGAGTGTAGGGAGGGGAGAGCAGTGCATGTGTTCTGAAATAGGTCCAGTCCTCCAACCCTAGGAACTATGGAAAAGGAAAAAAACACATGGGAGACAAAGGGAATGAGAGAAGAGCACAAAGACAAGCACAATGGATTCTGGTGGTTTTGAGTTTGACACGGATAACGGCTTCAGCTACCAGTCGGAAAGGGCACGTTAAAGAAGTTGTTTGTTTAGGTGTTGGTGGACTAAATATGTTATGCTGCTGCTCTCATCCAGAACAGTACATTGCTCTGCTCCCTTACTGGGACTCTTGTTTCTCCGAGCTCAGGGCGAGCCGACCCCCCTCCACTTTTGGCAATACACTGACGATGGATAAATACCTTATACAACCCAATTCCAAAACATCCCAAGTATCACTTTAACGTAGGTCTCCTCGCACGCCGTGTAAAATGTGAGCCAATGCGGCACCTGTATCTGAATAGGAAATACAACCCTGCACCCCCATGTCCCCCACCCTGCTTCACCCACCTCTTACCAAGGGTTACAGGACTGTCCTCTCACGAGCATCACTCTGTTGGTGCTGGGTCTGTTGTAGCAGCTGCCTGCTGTGGCTAAAGACACAGGTTAGATATTTGTGTCAACACAACAAATTCTAGTAACCATACAGATTAGAAGAAAAAAATGTAATGTAGTTTTAGCATCTTACCTCGGGTGATTTTGGCGGTTTAGGAGAGGTTTTAGGGGACAACTTGGGTGTTTTTGTCGTGGACTTAAGGTCACCTGGTTTGGACGTCGGAGGAGGGGTACCAGGTTCTGATGCAGACTTCTCTGTATCATTCTGCAATAGCAAACCATGAGTTAAACTTCCGGAACATTTTCAAAAATGGCTTTCAATCTAAAATACAATTGACCCAGTGAGGTTTAAATGATTGTATAGAGTGGCGAAGTCACGCCCATCTACTTCCGCCCCATGGGACCTTATTTCGGAAAAATAATGTATTGAAGTCAATGGAGAGAGAAAACTTATCTTTCGATCCCGTTTGAATTGTGCCATGAATTACACATATGATGTTTGTCAATCTTAAAAAATAATTTCCATGTCAAAAAAGTCAGTTTGTCGTAAAACTGTTGAAATATAAGACTATGAAAAATACGTAACTAGAAAGACTACAAATCCCAGAGTCGCGTAAGTGATGTCACAATTGTTTTCCTCCACTAAGAGATAGCTAAGATCAGCGCCATATATATATATATATATATATATATATATATATATATATATATATATATATATATATATATATATATATATATATATACACATACATACATATATATATATATATATATATACACATACATACATACATATTAGGGCTGTCAGTCGATTAAAATATTTAATCGCATGATTGTCCATAGTTAATCGCGATTAATCGCAAATTAATCGCACATTTTTTATCTGTTCTAAATGTACCTTAGAGGGATATCTTTCAAGTTTTTAATACTCTTATCAACATATGAGTGGACAAATATGCTTTATATGTTTGTTTATTATCATTTGAACAATGACAAATATTCTCATGAATATTAAACACAACAACCTCTGAACATTACAAATATTCACCTCAATTCAACCTGGAACCTCTCTCATACAATAATACTGTGTGTGTGTGTGTGTGTGTGTGTGTGTGTGTGTGTGTGTGTGTGTGTGTGTGTGTGTGTGTGTGTGTGTGGAGACACTGTGATGGAGCTATGTGCAGCTCAAGGCATATATGCTCGAATGGGAGCTGCCTGGACGCTGCAATCATGTTGCGCGCACTATCCGTGCTGACTGTGCTGACTTTTCGTACAATGTCCCACTGTCTGGCTACCTGCATAAAGTCAAGTGCTCGGCGCAGTTGTCGGCGAAATGTCATTGAAACAGCTCCTTATATCCGTCAGCGCAGCTAGCTAGCACCAGATGCTAACAACAACAACACGTAAGGTGTGCCTCGCTCGCGCGAGTCGCGCCACACATACACACTCCTTCCCGGTCCTCCCGATGGCCAGTCCGGGCCTGCCAGTGAGCGTGGTAGTGTGGTCTGCCACAAGCGGGTGGCAGGAGCGGGGCTGTCAGCATCAGCTTGTCGATGGTATTTTACACTCGATGCGCTCTGAAACTACGGGGGCCAAGGACAAAAAATACACATGCGTTAATCGCGTTAAAATAATTAGTGGCGTTATTTTTTTTTTGCGTTAACGCGTTATTAACGCGTTAACTTGACAGCCCTAATTAATAAATATATATATATATATATATATATATATATATATATATATATATATATATATATATATATATATATATATATATATATATATATATATATATATATATATATATATACTATCTATATGGCGCTGGCTAAGATAAGATAACTTTAACAAGATGCCTGTGTGCTTAGTACCAGGTTGTTATTATACCAGCAATGGGTCTTGCTCGTTCTTTCGCTTCCCGTCTGATGAAAGGACCAGGAGTGTCTGGATCAAGCTAGCTAGTAGCTAGCACGTTAGTTAGCATTACAGCCTTGCCATTTTTATTAGCCTTAACATGAAGTAACATTAAGTAACCCAAAATGTTAAACAATAAGAGTAGTAGTCATATTTCGTGAACCCTTTGAAGAGTACTGTCACCGGTGTGATCATTCTATAATACACCATTTAAGCCCGGGGGAGAAATGCTAACGCTAACGCTAGCATCGACGATCTTCTCTACTTCATGCTATCTGCACAAATGGTTGACATTAAACATTAAAACGACCAGGCAGTTCAGAGAGAATCAAAGAAAGGCAGGCAGGCAGCTTTGCATGACATTCTTCAGGACGCGTTTCATTGTGGTGATAGTGAGGGTAGTCAATCGTTTTGTTGACAAGACAGTAGTGACGGCCATCTTGGTGACGCGTGTTGTTGACCAGAGATGTAGTTCATTGAGCGTTTCACACAAACAAATGTGTTACTTCACAGTTTTACGACACATTTTTTTTTTTTTGACTTGCAAAATTATCTTTTAAATTGACAAACATATGTGTAATTCGTGGCACAATTCAAACGGGATCGAAAGATAATCTTTCTCTCTCCATTGACTTCAATACATAATTTTTCCGAAATAAGGTCCCATGGAGGTCCACCGGAAGGGGAGGGACTTCGCCACTCTATACCACTTACACCACAAGGTCACATGACACCATTGAAGCAAAAGTGATCATTGATTTAGTGGTGCAGCATCAGCCCATATTGTAAAACACTGCACTGTCAACTACACTGATGACATCACTTCCTGTTTGAGGGCAATTTTGTTTGACTTGAGGCAAGGTGGAGAACATACTTTATCATGTAAAATACATTTAAAAAAAGCTTTAAAGCTCATTTGTATGTGTTGCATTTACTCTGCACTTGCAAGTCGAGTTGAATTTATGAACTCTAAATTTACAATTAGCTCATATCTCACTTGATACTTTTAACACTCACTTTCGAGGTCGAGGACTCGGAGTTCCTCGTCCTGCGGCGTCTAGTCTGGCGGCGTTGTTCCTTCTGGTCCTCAGCTGCTTCTCCGTTGGTCTGGGGGGCCTCAGAGGCCTCCGGCTGCTTCACTTCTTCTTGCTCCTGGCTCTTTTCTGAAGTAGCCTGCTCGCCGTCTGCAGCCTGCTCAGCTGGTGGGCGAGGACGGAACGGTCTGTGACAGAGGACATGGAAGTCAAGCTTTTCAGTTCTGTAGTTCACAAACATAAAAATGAACACGTCATGTCACCTGCGGTACGGGCGCCAGAATCTGCGCTGTTGAGGTCGCGGTGTGTCGTCGCCCTCTGCCACTTCGTTCTTCTGTTCTCCAGCCTCACCCTAAAAGATGAAGAAGCCAAAACTGTGTTTAATAAAAAAGCT